TTAATAATATCAGTAAAATTAATATCACAATTCACAACGACCACAAAATGTGTCCACCTCCGTTCGCTCAACCTTGTTGTTTTCCTAAACTTAAATCGAGAAGAAGGAAAAAAAAAATGAAGAGGATAAGCAAAGGTCAGTAGGCACAGACAAGTCACGTCATTTCTGTTCCTCAAATACCTTCATTACACATGGTGTCCAATACTGGAATGTCAATTCTCATAATCATAGTCCCAAGGGAAATATAAATATAAATGGAGCGCCCGGAAAAGGGGCCAAAAAAAAAAAAAAAGCCACGTCGGCAGCCACGTCAGCAGGCCCGGTCAGCAGTCCCGGCCAACCGGGACCTACCACGTGGCAAGACCACGTCGTTCCGAAACGGGCCACGTTGGCGATCCGCGTAGGCGCGATCGGACGGTCCAGATCAAGCGTGCGATCGGACGGCTCAGATTTAATCGCACGGACGGCCCAGATTTAATCGCACGGACGGCCCAGATTTAATCAAAAACGGACGGCCCAGATTAAAATAAAATGGACGGCTGAGATCAAAAGGGCAAAGGGTTATAAATAGAACCCCCACACCAGACCACAAACCCTAGCCGCTTGCCGCTCGCCGGAGAAGACGAACCAGAAGCCGGCCGCCGCCACCCGCCGCCACACCGGAGGGATTTCCGACCGCCGATCGAGGTAAATTTCATACCCCCTACTCGTTTTTCCACGCTGATTTCCCCAGTGGCCAAATCGGAGCCAAAATCCTGGCCAAACGGCCGGAAAACACGGCCGAAAGCCAGCGGCGCCGCCGCGCCCCTTCTCGATTTTTGCCTCCGATGAGGCCCTTCCCGGCCTCCGTTTAATGCAATTTTTATATCACCGTGATCACCATTCTTTTCTCTACAGGTTGATCAGAGCCGAATCACCAAAACACGAACTTCACAAGAAAACGGCCAATCCGAGGCAAACCGCCGTCGCCGTCGCCGGAGCACGGCGGAGCCGCCGTGCCGGAGTTACGATTTGGGCCGAAAGGGGCCCTGGGCCTAATTTGGGATTTTTTTGGAACACGTACAGGTACCAGTAGTGCGTTTCAGTTCCCCGAGAAAAATTCAGGGAAAAATAGGGACAGCCTGTAGGCGCACTGTGAAGCCGTGTTCGGACCCCGAAACGAGTAAGGATCCCTCACCCTATTTCCTATCACGGTATTAAAGCTTAATAAATAATTAAACAGTAATTTGAGACTTTATAGATGTATAATTGATTGAGGTTGCCAATGGAGCCCGAGTCTGATACAATGTTGGTCTGTTATTGTTTGATCTAATTTTCAGTATTAAATGCAGTATGAGGTTTGATGTTTTCATTTTATAGTTTCGTGTGCATATTTTACTGTTTTATTGATTGTTGGTTGAATGACTGAAATACCGATACTGTATGTTGTCTGTTTGGCATGAATTACTGTTTGCTTATCTAAATGCGAATTGACGATGCTGATTGAGGGAAAGAAGAATGGAAGATTGTATAAATTGATAATTGTGTAATGGGGTCAGCCTGACTAGATATCCTGGGAGATGGTGGACGGACCGGGTCCGTAGGGGACCCTACCGGGATTGTGGTCTCTCATACCGGACGGGGTATGGAGATCTTATGTGTTTTGGCGCCCATACCGGACGGGGTATGGGGACGGCCCGTTTCACCCTCATACCGGACGGGGTATTAAGGTTTACAGTTTTGGCGCCCATACCGGACGGGGTATGGGGACGGTCCTGGAATCTGATTACAAGTATTAAGGGTAACGGGTAGCGGGACCCCTATGGATCCCCATGGATACTAGTAGGCTGGTGAATGAGGAAAAGTAATTGTGAAATGATTGAATTGCAAGGGCGTGATGAGTATTATGTTACACAGTTTATATGATTTCATGATTATGATAATGTTATTGCTTTCGTATATTGTTTTATGAATTTCACCGAGGTAAGTGAATGGTAAAGGGTTTTATTACTGATAAATGAGTTTATTGTAAATTATGCTCCATTGGTCTTTTTGTGTTTTCTACCCACCTTTATCTCCGTGACGGTGAGATATCGTGATGTTCTTACTGGGTTAGTGTACCTCATTCCTTATTTAATCATTTCAGATCAGGAAGACATTATTCCCGAGCCCGTTCCGCAAGAAGACGACGAAGGGGACGCCTAAAGACTCCAAAGTCATATTCATAGTTTACTTTCGAATCTCTCTTTT